CTTTATTCGTTTGGCTGACAGGAGAGCGATTCCCCCTTTTTGATAAACGTGTGGCTATCATGAGGTTGTATTGGGTTGATTGGGATGCTGTGGTTACTCATGTTCTGACAGGACAGACGTTGAGAGATAATGGCGACTCTCACATGTGATTGGCACGTGGATCGCTCCAATTACTGGTACTGTCGTTCACGGGGTATTGGCGGATACTGGGTATTGGTAAAAGTTGGCTTGGCTGTCTCTTTTTTGCCCTGTCCGCCATCACCCAGTATCCGCCAATACCCCGTGAACGACAGTAGCCAAGTTCACTCGCCTGTCTCTCTTGTGGAGCCTCAGGCACGCACGGACCAGGTGGGAGGGGGAGGGGTAACCTGAGGAGGGGGAGGGGAAATTTGGAAGGGGAGTAGGATTCGAGGAATGAGGGAATGGATGAATGGGTGGGACGACGCGAGGTAAGGAGGGAGACGCGAAGTTGTCTGTCTAGCTAGAGTGGGCATTTTACATAAGGCATGTACATGTAGGTACAACGACGACTCCCACTATATTCTAGACGTGGAGATAAAGTTTTGACATCGTTTACCAACCTACCTGCCAGGCCAGGTGGCAGGGCATTTTTCCGGACCGGCAATGAGCCAGGTTCTTGGACCAAACTCTTTTTATCTACTCCCCCCTCCTCCCTACTTTGGATTAATCCTCCTATCCTGTGTCTTTAAATTCAGCCCCCTACACCCATTCCCCTATCTAAGCCCGTGTGGTTCCGGACCGGATCAACTGTCCGGAGTTCTCGGGTTGCAGCTCTGGCTAGAAAACGGAAGCTTACTGGCTGGAAACCGTCTTTTGAGAGTTGTTTTTTCTCTCACTCACATGGGAAATCTATCGATCGCTCGATGATTGATCGATCGATATGTCCCCTGTAACGGTATCGTATGGGCGCTAAACCCGTGTTTCCTGGACCTGACTCTGGGACCACAATACTAATCGTGTCCTCCCTACCCGTCTGGTCAGGAACCGGCAGTTGTTTCTCGAAGGGGTGCGCGAGAAGCATTTTGAAATGGCATGTGGAAATGTTTGTTGTTGATATCGCTCAAAACGGTGAGAGGCTCAACAAGTAGCGTGCCAAGCAGAATTAAGCTTTGTGACAAGCACGTGCGCTAGGCTGTCTTTCTACTAATCAGAAGAACCCTAACCCATGTACCATGGAATACGTACTTAATTTAGGGACTGACGTCAATTATATCCAAGATTCTGTCGGAGGAATACGGCCGGCGACCGCTACCCGTATTTGTAGCGATTTCGTCACTTAACTAAATGTAGATGTTCAAGTACAAAGACCGCGGGAGCGTGAACAAGACAGGTTCTCATATCTTCATATGCATTCAATGGCTTCGCAGCTATCTAGGATATGGTCTGATATCGTCACCTCTCACAGCCCTTTGTTACTAGAGCTCACAGGAGCTCTGATAGTACAAATATTCTACTTCTGGGTTCCGAGTCTCTTGTACCTATCTCTTGAGCGGATACTCCCAGCCTTTTCAGCTGCGCACAAGATACAGCCCACGCAGCCCCCACCAACGGCCACTGAGACAAAACACTGCATAGCAGTAGTACTCAAGAACCAAGTAATTGGCATACTCGCGCACGCGGCACTCATCACGCTATTCCCTCCATTACCAATACCCAGGCAGCTCCCCACTTTCAAAAAGTTCGCATCCGATGTCCTCTTATCCGTCATAGTCTGCGAGGTCATCTTCTTCTACGCCCACCGTCTTCTCCACACACGCAAGTTCTACGCCTGTATCCATCGCAAGCACCATGCTTTCACAGCGCCAATAGCGCTCGCAGCGCAATATGCGCATCCGGCGGAGTTTGTGGTATCGAATTTGCTGCCGCTGCATCTGCCTCGGATGTTAGTGCTCAAGGATTGTCATATCTTGAGCTTCTGGGCATTCTGTGCGATGGTGGCGCTCGAGAGCTGTTCGGTACACTCGGGCTATGCCATTTGGAGTATGGAGGGACTGTCTAGGAGGCATGATTGGCATCATGAGAAGGTGGTGGTTAACTTTGGTACGTTTAAGTTTCTGGATTGGATCCATGGGACGGATGGAGGGGTGGGTGGGGATAGGGCTAGGAGAAGAGGGAATAGAAGGAAGCTTGTGGAATAGATAGAGGCTTTGAACATTGCATTAGATGAGGTGGTTACATGCGTTATAGGCAATGAGCTAGTGTACTCGTATTTTCCTGACGTTTGTGGACGCGACTGATATTGTATGCTATATAAAAATACGCTAAGCTCATGATTTTGGGTGTATGTAATAATGGCCCAGTTCAAAAATGTCAGGAAGATACTAGTATATACGATAGGGTATTTGGTGGTGGCTTGCGTGGGCTTGTGATGAGCTGTATGTAGGCATCTGTAGAGGCTTTTTTCTCTCCGTGTAGTTATATCTGATTAGTAGTTAGTACATGTATATTAATGGCTATGTTTTCTGTGATGGCTTGTGTCCAAGCTTTTTCCCAACGCTGCAAGCAGCGAAACTAATGCAGTAGCTGAAGAAGTCTCACTGCACATGCTTCCTAGACATTTCGGGATATTACTACATGTTTTATCCTGACCCGGCTATCTGTCCTGTCACGACAGAAGCACATCTTATGGTTTCGGCAAAGAAGCACTAAGATAAAGATAAAGAGGCTGTTATCCTGGATGGCGGACCAGAACGTTATCTCTCTTGGACATCCTCATCTCCTTGCCTCATGCTGCTGCGCACATTTCCGAGTGATACGGTATGCAGCTAGTCAACCAAACCGCATCCACACGCAGAAACAGGAAAGTTACAGTCTTACAGAGGACCGAGGTATGGTGTCGGAGAAATGATTGGAGTCTCTGGATGCGTGTGTTGAGTTCAAGGTTCATCTCGGGCATCTTTCCTTTTGCCAGTCTTTTTTTATCTTTCTCTGCTTTCTCTGGTCTGGTTGCGTCCCTTATCTGGAACCTTCTCTCGGAGATCAACAGGAGAAACTCGAAAGGGCCCATGCCACGCACCCACGGGTGGCTGTCACAGCTAGCCCCTTTCTTGGCAGCCAGCAACCACCAAACCAGCTTTGCACTCCGAATTAACTCCCACGAACGTTCTCTTAGTCGAAGTACATACATTTTCGACGACGGACAATAGTTTAGTAGAGTAGTACGAACTTTATCTTGACTTCAATCCCTTTTTTGTTTTGTCGACAATAGTTATTAGCAATGCGCACCTCCCTTTCCCTCACCTCGCTCGCGTTCTCTCTCCTGGCTTCGCTAGTTTCCGCGGACGTCAAGTTCACGAGCCCGACTCGGAGCACCAAATGGAAGCCTGGCGTCACGGTGACTGTTGAGTGGGAGGACTCGGGTGATGGCCCCAGTTTATCGGATTTTAGCACTTACACCATGTGGCTGTGCGTTGGAAGCAACAAGGACCCCGTATGTTTCCCCATTCCATTCCTCCGCTCCTCAATGCTTATGTATACACATTGTATGCGAGAGAGAGAAAAAAGTTGTTAACGATAGAACGCGATAGTTCTGCGACCACACGATCGGTGTCGTCGGCTCCATTTTCGCCGAAGCTACATCCACAAAACTAACCATTGACCCAACATACGGTGAGGATGGCGACAACATCTACTTCATCAAGATGCAATCCGTCGCTAAGGCTGGCGGCATGACAACCAACTACACCCCGCGATTCTCGATGTCCGACATGACAGGCACCTTCACCGCAGCCCAGGTCGCTGCCCAAAAGGTCGGCGATGATGACCCCCCTGCGTCGACAGACACCGTTGCAGATGCCGCTGCCGCGGCCAAGGGAACGGCGGCGGCGAACAGCTTGATGAATGTGCCGTATGCGATGCAGACGGGGCCCACGAGATATGCGCCGATGCAGACGCAGCCAGGGAAGAGCATCACGGCTACGGGCCCGAGGATGCAGTACCCGACGAGTGCATATACGGTGTATAAGAAGGCGGGCCCTGCGCCAAATGTGCAGACTACCATTACGCAGCCGTGGGATTACACGATTACGAGTTTGGTCAATTCGGTATGTGATCTTCTTGTTTGGCGGTGAGGAGTGGGGGTTGGGGGATCATATACTAATGGGATTTTTGTGTTGGGCTTTAGGCTTCACCGGCGCCACAGCCTGATGATATGCAGAAGTTTCTCAACAGGTGGAAGGATTAGGCGTATCTATGCTCGTTTTTGTGTAGCTTTTTACGAATTTGTTTTATTGATTAGAACTGTTTTGCGTATACAGCTGGTGCAAGGCTTGCACAGCATTGAGGAGAAGAAGGAGGAGGAGGAGATGGGGGATTGGTTGGTTGTTGTTGATTCTTGCTTTCCTTCCCTCAACGTTGATACCGATTTGTTTTCTTTTGTGCGCGGGGCCGGAGGGAAAAAGCGTACTGCTAGCTTTGTTTATCATCTTTCCCCGCGTATATAGCTTGTTTTTTCATATGTTGGCGTAATAATGGTTGTTTGTTCCTTTCATGCCCTACGCCAGCTCGAATTGAGTATTTCCCCCCACCGAATTCGGATTACCCCACAGTAGACTAGCGCCGCATCTGTCAGAAAAAGCAAAGAAAGTGTCGTTTATGAGAATGTTTGGAGATGGGTGCAAAAGTCGAAGCTTCCATAACGAGTGCCCTGCGTATTGAAACCCGGGCCGGTATGCTCTGTTTATGCAGGGTTGGAAGCATTCCAAACATCTCCACACCCTAGATAAATTACATGTAGTGAGCCATGCTAGAGCAGATAGCGGACCGGGTAGCTCAAGCAGGGTCCTCACCACCACCACCACCACCACCACCACCACGAAATAATTATCACATCACCGTACTGATTTTCATGTAGCTTCGTACCAGGTAGGTAGGTAGATTAGGCAGGCAGATAGTCAAGCAGGCAGGCAGATAATCGTAACTTAGGTGACCCATCTGGTTTGACTCGGGCGTGATACTTCTGGCAGGTCACCCATCCCCATATGAGGCTCGCTGGTCTAATATATACGCGGGTATCCACGGGCCTTCTCCTGCGCACCCCCACCTCCCCCAACCCCGCCATCCTCACGTGCCTGAGAGCTCTCTCTTTGCTCTCTTCCTCTGCTGCTGCTGCCGCTTCCCCGCATCAGCATCATCATCAGCATCATCATCATCATCGTCTTCACCGATTATTCTCATCGACCCCGCCCAACCGCAAGGTCAAACTAAACGCAGCACTAGCATACAAGTTGTTCCACTACCGCCGAAAGAAGGCCATCTATAAGATGTTGGCAATAAAGATCGACCCCCAGACAGACGTCGTGCTGCAGGGAAAGTACCCAGCAAAGGCGCATGCAAAGCGGGTTGCGGAGTTCATGGGCCTCAAAGAGGGCCTGCTGTATCTGGAGAGTGCGAAGGAGATGCTGCTGGAGGATTGTGATAGTGAGGGTGAGTTGTCACGATGGGGTGCGGCGAGATAGATTGGTGTAGGTAGTTAATTAAATGGGAACAGCTCCCTTCCGCCAGCGTAGATACTTTTACTATCTCTCCGGATGCGACCTCCCGGATTCATACTTGACCTACAATGTCTCCAGCCAGACCCTAACCCTCTACATCCCTCCCATCTCCCCGTCATCCGTCCTCTGGTCCGGCCTCCCCGTCTCGATCTCTGAAGCAAAGTCCCTCTACGACGTCGATGAGGTCCGGCACACCACCCCGGACCTGCACAAGGACCTTCTGGCCAGCTCCCACCCCATCTTCGGCATCGAGTGCCAGCTCTCCCCCAAGCTCCCAGAGCAGATCAGGACCAGCATCGACACCAACGGTAGCCTCAAAACCGCAATCGAGGAATGCCGCGCAATCAAGGATGCCTACGAGGTGGCGCTGATCCGCCGCGCAAACGAGATCACGGCGACTGCACACCATCGCGCGATGAACCTGGTAAAGAGCTCTGTGAATGAGCGCGAGCTCGAGGCTGTCTTTACGGAGCGCTGTATTGCGGGCGGCGCGCCGAAACAGGCGTACCATGGTATCTTTGCGTCGGGGCGCTCAGCGGCTACGCTACACTATGTGAAGAATAATGTTACGCTAGCGGGGAAGCTAAACCTGCTTCTGGATGCGGGCGCGGAGTATAACAACTATGCCTCTGACGTGACGCGGACGTTCCCCATCAATGGGGAGTTCACGAAGGAGTCGCAACAGATCTACGATCTTGTGCTGAAGATGCAGAAGGAGACGATCGAGGCGACGAAGGCGGGAACGAGGTGGGATGATGTCCATATCCTTGCACACAGGATTGCGATCGAGGGCTTGCTGGCGCTGGGGATCCTGAAGGATGGGAGTGTCGACGAGATTCTGGAGAGTAGGACGAGTTGTGCGTTTTTGCCGCATGGGTTGGGGCATATGTTGGGGATGGATACGCATGATACGGGCGGGCATCCGAACTATGATGATGAGGATAAGATGTTTTGTTATCTGAGGAAGAGAGGCCCGTTGAGGGTTGGGGAGGTCATTACGGTTGAGCCGGGGGTGAGTAGTAGTTTGGTGATATCTGAAGCGTAGAGTTGTGAGTGCTAACGTGGGTACGGTAGATCTACTTCTGTGAATTCATTATCAACCCCTTCCTTGAAGATCCCAAGCACTCTAAGTACATCGATAAGGATGTCCTAGACAAGTACTGGGACGTCGGTGGTGTTCGTATCGAAGGTAAGTCTTTACTCCCACCCTACCCTTAAGTATTGCCTACTAATCCATAACACTAGACAACATCCTCATCACGGAAACTGGCAATGAGAACTTGACCACCACGGTCAAGGAGGTGGAAGACATGTACAAACTGATTAACGACCTCTAGATTATCAGCGGTCGGGCAGAATTTTGCGTACGTTGTTTCTTGTAGCTAGTTGATTTGCTGCAATAAATAAGAGAAGCTACTTCAATTTTGGGATTGCTGTGTCGGCGGTTTTGTAATCATGGGTTATCACTCGCTCTTGTTCTGAAGCTTTAGACTACATGTAGATTTGACTAGTATATAGGTAATGACCGGACGATGGTCGTTTTTCGATGTCATTTCTTTACCGTCCGGCCGTCTCAGGCGGGGAAAAGAAAGCTGTCCGTAGGTAATGGACACGAGACTCATTTCGTCCCTCTACTAACAGCGAACCACAAGCAAAACTTAATTCCGTACAGCTGCCGCCCATGAATTCCCAGACCTCCTCCTTTTCGGGTAGCTTCGTCTCTTGGGAGACGAAATCCCCGGTCTACCCCCAAAAAGAAAAACCGGCGGCGGTCTGAGCTGCTTTGATACGGCACCGCCCCTGGGAGCGCGGGCCCGCCGGCCGACCGGTGAGAGGGTGGGCGAAGATTCGCAGTGGTAGGAAGCGGTCCAGAACCATACTAGATACATCTGATCTTTTACTCTCTAGACAAAAATATCAAAAGGTCAGTTGTAACGGGGGCCGTTGATTGTTCGTTTTTGCCCGCTTGTCCTGCAAGAATGTGGATTATGGTTCATATAATATCACTCGGATACGAACAATAACTAATCCCGTTTAGGCTTGGCTTTTCAAGTAGTAATGAAACCGTGTCTGAACACATCATATCCATACTTTGTCCTAAAGTAACTATTTAGGGAGCCAGATGGACTGCGAACTTCCTCGTCAACTGCGTCACTTCATCGTCTCTCGTTCTATCACAACAATCCAACATCCTGCTGTAGCGAGTGATAAATGATGATGCAAGAGCTAGAGGGCGATAGAGAGTCTATCCTTTGAGCCTGTGGAATGATACAAAAGGGAACAGGTTATATCAGAAGTCTGTAAGTTATTCTTTGTAAAGTGTTTCCATGCCACTCAACTGATACTAGCTGTAGCATTACTCTTGGGATGCGTTGGGGTGTTTTTTTTGGGGTAGCCAACTCTCAGAACTACAAAGATAAGAATTACGATATATTATATATAGATGAGCATGTTTCAGGGCCCAATAGCCAGACTTGAGTGTTCGTGACCTCCCTCCCAAAAAGTAAACTACGCGTATTAATAGAACTAACAAAAACCAAAACCCAGCAGAGAACAGAGGAAAAAAGAAAAAAAGTACAGACCGTCCGACCTACGCAGGGGGAAGACACACCGGATGTGCCAACAACTCACTTGGAATATTCACACTCGCACCCTCGCTCACACTCGCACCCTCGTTCACACTCGCACCCTCGATCACACTCGCACCCTCGATCACACTCGCATCCTCGTTCACACTCGCACCCTCGTTCGCACCCGCACCCTCGTTCGCACCCGCACCCTCGTTCGCACCCGCACCCTCGTTCGCACCCGCACCCTCGTTCGCACCCGCACCCTCGATCCCACTCGCACCCTCGCCCTTACCGGCGCTCAAGGCCCTCTCCACCATCTCCGCACTCCACACCCACAGCTCCTCCGCCCATTCCTTATCTGCCGCCAACAAACTAGTCTTCTCCTTCACCGCCACGGGCACAAAATAATTCCCCCTCCCAACCTCTTCCACATCCCCCACGGCCAAATACATCGCCGTCGCCGCCCCCTGCTCCGGCGTCTGCCCCACCAGCTTCAACAACAGTGTCACCATGCTACCGCCAAACTCCCCTATAAGATACTTCCACCCCGCGCTCGCCTCCGTCGGCACACTTCCCGGGAAAAACGAGTTCGGCACCACCCCCTCCGGCAGATGCTGCGCTAGCGCCCGCGTGAACAATATATTCGCGAGCTTACTGCGCCCATAGCGGTACCAGCTGTCCCACGCAGGGCCCTGCGACGTAGGCGGCGTCGGCGACACGAGCTCATCGAAGCTGAACTTACTGGCGACGACCATATGGAGTGAGGATGACGTCACAATCACACGCGAAGGTGCGGATGCAACCAGAAGCGGCGTGAGCAACTGCGTGAGGTGGAAATGGCCCATGTGGTTTGTGGCGAACGTGATATCGACGCCATACGAGAGGCGGTAGTCCGGATCGAACGACCTCCCCGCATTGAGGAAGAGGAAGTCGAGGCGGGTGAGGGTTGAGAGGATGTCCTTTCCAGTGCGGTCGATTGCGGCGAGGTCGGCGGTGTCGCAGGGGATGAAGCGGACGCGGTCGATGCGCTCCGGGGTGGCGGACAGCGCGGGCCGCCAGACTTTTGTCAGGCTGTTTTGGAACTTTGTCTCGTTGCGGGCGAGGACGAGGACTTGCGCAATGTCGTTGAGGAGAAGGTGTTTGACGATGTCGGCACCGATACCGTCGCTGCCGCCGGTAATGATGGCGGTTTTGCCGCTGAGAGAGGGGCAGGAGTGAATGTTGAAGTTTGTGGACGGGAGGATCCCCCATTGACGTAGGAATTGGTTGAACATTTTGGTTAATTGGGATATGTATGTAGGCTTGAATACGCTACTGACGACGATGGGAGCGTTTGTAGGATAATGAGTGCTTAAATACAAGTACAAGATTAGATAATGTTCCCCAGGCCGCGGAAATCCTCATTGAGCGGAGCAGATAAGTATGTATCTATACTTGATTTGAACTCGCGAGGGAATGTTTAGGTTTCTAATTGGACGCCTCCAGTCACACACATTTAAAACAGGTTTTTGATAATGTCTCGCCTCACATATCTTCAAGCTAGTGATCATCTATGGCCGCCGTTGATTTGGCGAGAAGGTTGTGGACCGCGGGAATCGACTTCAGCTGCCCAGACTTTCAACATGCGTTCTGGGCATCTTGATTAGACGCTGGATTAGACATTCTATCTGTATAACAATCTCGTGTGAAGGAAGCTACGCTGGATGGTCTTAAGACTTGAATTAAGTGTATTCAAAACTGCAATTCCCATCATAGCCTCTAGCCAACTACCCTCAAAGTTATTTACAGAACACTCAGCGCGTCTATTTAAAGTTTTTGCAGGCCATGAGTTAACGATACGATACTATCGGTTCTGCACGTGGTGTAATAAAGAATTGTTCGATCGACAATAGACCAGTTGCGGAACCATATAACACAGTTCGAGCAAGGCTGGGAACTGTACTGCGCGTGATACAGCTAAATTATATTATACAAATATCGCCTATATCTAGAATTTGAAGGATGGAGTGTGGGCAGGGCATGTTATATAAATAACCCTTCGTCTGGCACCATTATTCCTGAGTCAGGATTTTCTCTGGCGTCTCTCTGGCTTCTACGTAAAATGATCAGAGGTAAGTTCGGGTAACTGCTAGGCCTAAGAGATTTTCTCACTGACCGTATGATTCTCGAAAGATAGCTAGCCTATCCGGGCAATTAAAGTTATCTTGTCAGGCAATCTTTCATAAGCAGGCTATTCATGTATTTTAGGATTTAAAGAATCGCGCTGCGTGTGCGTGAAAATTAATTGAGCCTAGTATTATGAGACCAGCTGTAAAGGTACTTGTATGCACTTGCGACCTTTCATGAAATACTTATTCACAACTTAAGTTGCTATGTGGTTCAAATATATAGAACTAGGCTACAGGGATGCTACCGACTAAAGGTCTAAACCCAATTCTTAGTGGGCGAAGGCGAGCATGGGGCCTCTAGTGAACAAATAGGAATCGCTAGAGACGCCTTGGCTACCTAAGGACCCCTGCTCGTATGTCTCCTTATCTTGAGGCACTGCTAGTTGCGTGCATAATGCACCAACCGTCAAACACTGGAAACGAAAATGGCGACTACTACTCCACGCACCTGAAGATTCGGAGAAAGGCCCAGACAGGGCTAAAGCTTAGCTGGCTAGCGTTGTACATACATTCTTTTGTTCCAGGACACCCCGCGGTTTTTTCTAATTTTCAACCCTCCTCAGCTTATTTACGTAAGGGAGCTGGTACAATAAATAAAGTTATTATATCCAGTTCTCCCCCAATTGACAACCTTTACACGAGCACAGCCATTGGCGCCTAGGTAATCCCTCAATGGATTGCGTATACCTATATTTGCCCACCCTATAATAATAATTACTCAACCGTTGAATGTGACTATTGAACCAATGTTCTGAGCCGGTCTTAGAATGGCCACGCGTGCGCATGGTCTCAAATGGATGAGCAGTTTTAAAGGTGCCTGTAGCACAAAAAAAAAAAAATAGGTATCGAAAGTAGAGTCGTGGAGGTCACAAAAGATGAGACATATGTTGGGATAAATGTATCTATCTGCAGATAGATCAGTCGGGCTGTGTTTGCTCTAGTTTTCTCGGGTTCGTCTGCATTTGCATTTATAGTTCGGATCTCACATTGTCATTGGGAAATCTTTCCAGAGTAGGTCCTGATCTGCGAAGAATCTTTCCTAGTTGATCTCGCCAAAGACTTCAATACGGTCGTCCACGGGGTGGTCATGAAGACGGACACTGGTGTTGGCGGAGAGGGGTTTTAACGAATAATAAGCATTAAAAATGGATCTGACCTAAAGCTTAGCTATTTCTCACCATGCTTAGAATCCCTGTCCGTCAACCCCCAGTGCCCACCCCTTCACCTGTGAACGACTGTGAGCAACCTTCAAATTCCAAGCACGAATTATCACTCGCGCTAGGATTCCACGCCCAGAAAAAACATGGCAAAAACTTGGCAGCTGTCAGATTAACCTTGATACCCGTTTTTCACAATCCATGGAGATCTCCCCCTTAATCATGTCCCAGGGTTTCTTAGCAATGAACCTTCCTCGTATCGATATGCATTGTCACGCAGTATGCAAGCGTGACATGACCCGATGACCTCATAAAGTGCCAAGTCACTGTGCTCCAGGCGCGACAACAACAAGACTTCTCGACTGATCCAAGGAACAAGCATCGAAAAGTCACTCCAATCCCAATACTGCCATCATTCCGGGTGAGAAAAGAAAAGTGAGACAACCAGTAAATCCTTCCTACGTAGGGTGCGGTTTTCAAGCTTTTTACAGCCCCGTCGTATCTCAAACATGCGCAGAAGATTCGCGGCAGCATGGGTGGGTGTGCTGCATGGAGAAAGGAGTGTAAAACAAGCACTGCCATGACGAAAGCTAGGACCCATATCCAGTTATGGTGGTAATCCCGGCACTGGGACACGTCTATCTTTGCTTCGGTACCTTCCATGGTAGCTGGTGGGCCAATCTCTTATAAACTGACGTCTATCTGGACTTTCTTCTCCTCAACTTTCTGTGAAGTCCTTCTTCTTCAGTTAGTCGGAATACTAATTCCTTCTTCCCATATTTTGCCCCAATAACCATATAAAAAAATGTCGAACTACTCCCATCACCAGTCTCAAAACCGCCCCGGTAATTTCTATTCAGACCCTATGCCGCCGCAGACGGACGAGTACGGAGACCTCCCTGGTTCCTCTTCCCGGCGGGCCCCAAGGTCTAAAGAGCAAGTCGCTGCCATCCCTGACCCAGAGCTCGAGCGCACGAAGCGCCGTGGATTCCACCCGATTCAGGCCTTGTCTATTGCTGCGAAAAGTGGTTGTTTCCTCGGGGCGTGCACGAACGTTTTATGGCCCTTTGTCCCTATTGGGTTGGCTCTTCATTTCGTGAGGCCAGAGTGGCATTTGTGGGTATTTATAACGAATTATGTTGCCATGATTCCCACGGCAAATCTATTGGCATTTTCTAGTGCGGGGTTGGCACGAAAGATTCCCAGGGTAAGACATTCTTGGCTTTGGCGTGGTTGCAATTGGTTATGAGTTGGACTAATTGTATTAATTAATTGGTGATAGGTCTTGGGAGTAGTAATACAAGTGACGGTTGCATCAGTAGTTGAGATAATACTGTGCATCCTATTGTTATTCAAGGGCCAATACAAGGTGATCCAGGCTGCACTTCTTGGGTCTATGCTAGCAAATCTGTTGCTGTGTACGGGACTCTGTTTTGTCGTTGGTGGGATCAGGACAAAGGCACAAGAGTTTGGAGATGTGCTTGCAGAGACTGGAGGAGGGTTATTACTGCTATCTGTTGCGGCATTGACGCTGCCAGCAGCGTTCTATGAAGGCCTTAGTGGACTAAATAGGACAACAGCTGCAGACCTGACGGATAGGATCTTGAGTGTTTCGAGATACATGTCAATTTTGTTATTTGCTGCTTACGCTCTGTATGATATAGCCATCTCTTCCTGCTCTTGAATTGTTAGCATGATACTAATTTGATTCTCAGATACCTTTTCTTCCAACTCCACACACACCATCATCTATTCGACCACGACCTCTACCATGCAGACCAGGCCAACAAGGACCGACGTGACAATGTAAACCGTGCTAAACTCACTATCACCGAGTCTTTGCTCTTCGTTCTCTTTTCTCTGACTCTCGTCTGCCTCCACTCTATCTTCATGGTTGAGCAAATCCATTGGATCGTAAGCAACCGTCACGTAAGCGATGCGTTCATGGGTCTCATCCTCGTACCCCTCGTCGAAAAGGCTGCAGAGCATCTCAGCGCTGTTGACGAGGCCTGGGATAATGCGATGGATTTCGCACTATCCCATATCCTAGGCAGCACTATACAGACAGCACTGCTTGTGGCGCCAATTGTCGTCGTTGTTGGGTGGATTGCGGGTAGGCCGATGGATCTGAATTTTGAGGTGTTTATGGTTGTAATATTGGTGTTTTCGGTGTTGGTGGTGGGTAACTTTATCAAAGATGGGAAGAGTAATTATCTGGAGGGGGCGTTGTGTTGTATTTTTTACCTCATGATTTCGTAAGTTACCCTTCCCAGAAGGCCTTGGACGGTGAGGTGGGAAATATGGATGTCCTGACAGGATTTTTTTTAGGGTGACTACTTGGTACTATCCGAACCCACTAGAACTCGAAAGTGGTGGCGAGTAGTGGTGCTTTGGGGAGGGGTTGAAAAAAGTAGGGATTAGTCCGCTAACGATAGCCATGTTTGCATAGCGATGATTTTTCTTTGGTTCTTTTGATTATGTAGCCAGCAGGAGTTTTACCAGTTTTCCTTTTTTTATTTCTGATTTTTCCCAAGTTTGATTGGGATTGAAGGCAGGCTCCTTCTAGGATTACCTAACTATACTATCGATTTTTATTTGAGGGCTTCGGTTTGTTAATCGACTGTGAAAGTTCGTTTTCGAAAGAGAGGTGACCGGTAATATTGATCTTAAATTGAAAGAATCTTCGGCCCTAAAAGCAGTTTCTGAAACTGCATCATAAAATCTCACTCGGATTATCATAATAAGTTATTGGTACCTGGAATCATTGATTGATTGATAATTCATTAGTTATTGGTATCATGATCTATGGCTTCCTTGTTGTTATGATGTGCGTATGGCTGTATGGCTTCCGAGCCTATGAAGATATTATACGGTCGCCACTATAGTGTTGTAGTAACTGGTGGAAACTACTGGACACTCCGGTACTCCAAGGTTGGGTGCCCCTGTTTACACGATAACTGCATGCAGTTATCCACGTGACGAAGTCTTGTACACTTCTACAGGAAGCTTCAGACTCGAATACCCCAGGGTTCGGGGGAAGGAGGAGAGTATGCCGACACCGCCTGTGTTACCCAAGTCAGCTTGCGGAAATCAATGTTGCACCTAAGTTTCAACACCTACTATTGAACGCCTGTCACTCACTGTCCTGGGGTACGTACGGCAATTTCCACTTGAATAGCCTTCCGTACGTGCAAAGACTGGGGTGGGCTGACCTAAGCTCCGAGGAATCTCAAGCCCGGTATATATAGTCCATCAAAATTATCCCTAGACTTAGTCCAGAACATCAACCCCGGCTCATAATGCACCAGTCTGACTATGACCCACGATTAACATACGAGTGGTAATGACTTGACCAATGGGAACTAGCCCATCACATTTCCAAAAATAATTTCTTTCTGGTGCTAGGATAGCTGATGCGGTTCACCTAATTAACCAGGAGTTCGGTAAAGCTGTAACATAGCTTGGTCCGATGTTCACTGCGGGTCCACTATCGAGGGCCCTGCCCCTCAAAGCCCATAGTTGACCTAGCCTGAAAAAAGACAGATCTAGGCCACCCGTCGCGGCTCTAAACTCAACTCAATTCTTACTCAAGTGCTGAGAGGATGAGTGAAACTTAAGCTTGTCCAAACACGATGGCTTGAATGAACACTAGCTCAGCTGTTTTTTTACCAACTGGTAGAATTCTAGAATATCCTAGATAGGGAAGAATGTACCTCCCTCCTTTCATAACATCACAATCCGCCGCTTCCCTTTTGTCCTATCTCGAACTTATGCCCCTTTGAAGTGTTTCCAGCTTCTTTGTGGAAGGATTTCCTAGCCAAATATTGACACTCGTACAAGTTAGGCCAGGGAAGCTCGATTAGGTTAGATGTATGTAGATTATCGACTTTTCCCGCGGTGATTTTGGATTTGGAACTGGGATCAGCTACCAGGTTGTGAGGCGGCCTTGTAAATACATAAACTGAATGAGCAATGGTTATTCGTTAGGGTTTGAAAGTAAAGTCTTGGTGGTGACTTCCAAAGGCCCATATAACCATCCTGCGAGCTTTAAATCGGTGATAGACCACAATTTCCAGGTATGCTCATGGCTGAGAGCTTACTAGAGGCAAGATATAGTTGAAGAACATTTGAGCATAATCAAGGTCTAAAGTATAAGGTATGTGGTAGGCGACTGAGTAGAGAACCTGAATAGTATCGATATCTCGAAGGCCTACACAGCCGGCCAAAGGATGATTCTAGACTATTAGCAGAGGATACAAGCGCAGAGTTTATGATGTATCTTAAACAGCACCACTCATCTTTACTAAGATTTAGAGGTTTCGATCAAATATGCCTTTACGGCAAGTGAGCATATATGTATCCATTAAGAGAGCTCAACACACATTCTGTGGGATAAGAAGAGTCGTTTTTGTGTTTCTCGAGCTGCGGATGGAGTGGAAGCGAGGATGGGGGACCGGAACGACGCTGAAAAGTAAATTTAGGAGCGCTAGCTAGCTAGCTTAAAACGAGAACACGCTTCCTATTCTAGACTTCATGATCAACGATGTCAACCAATAACTACGTAGGCGATAGGTCTTTACCCTCACAATAATCCACTTTTCTTTCACCATGAATACTACACTCCCTCTATATCCTTTCCTTCATATTTTAGAAGTTCATTTCCATAGCATATCACAAACAGTGTTTTGGTTGACTATGGACGATTTTCAATTATCAAAAGAAACTCCCCCCCCCCCCCCCCCCGCGCCAAACTACTGAGGTTGTAAGAAAACTCGTCGAGGCCAGACTGATCTGTGTTAATATTTCCAGTGTCATTCTGGTAAATACCGTGGTTCTCTGGCATTTCTGCAATAATCTTCAGTATGATACACCAATTCCTTTTTTGAGGATTCCGTTTGTAACATATATGTAGTACCTATTGAAACACTGGGTTACATGAGCTTATTCTGAAGCACACTGACCTTTTTGTGTAGCATATGGAGGGTTTTTCTTTCGCGTTATTTTACTGGATTCTAGGCCTATTTTTGCATGGGCGTTATATTAAAGTTACGATAACGCCCCTATACCTACTCAATGCAAGTTAAGAGTTTCGAAGGTCCACAGAATTCGAAAACGCCCACAAATGGAACAGTTCCCACGGACATAAGAACATTCTGATCCAACCTCTTTACCATCATTCACAACCCCACCTCCATCAACGACTGAAACACATCCCGATAGTTATCAGAAATCTCAATTCATGTGGTACGATCATCAGGATATGAGGTCTGTAAAAATCCCACCTTTCCAGGGGCAATACTAACTGTATCAAAGAATTTCCACAACCACGCATACTAGTACAACAAGGTCGCCACGTGACAGCCAAGCTGACCCATGCTACCGCTCAAACTGATTTGTCCGTTCCGTAAGTATGTCCCACCTTGCAAATTGAATTTCAGCACTGATGACGGTTGTTCGTAGGCCCTTCTAAAGAGCAAAGATAACTTTTTAGCAAGTGGCGAGATTAATAGATCCCCGGTCAATGAATAACCCAGCTTCAAACCTATCCTACCCAGGTGTTGTCTCTTTCCACAACTCTGGCGTGCAAAACCCCCCGCACTTCAGTAGTACATGTAGCACCTTCTTCAGAACGCACGCTCAACGAAGAAACAATCAGGACAAACAAGCACTTACAATCCCTCCCCCCCGACCATTCATCTAAAGCATAAAGCAAGCAAGCACGGGCTTCCTAAGCTGCAGGTAGGCGGTGTGGGCCGTCGGCGAAAAATAGAGGAGTGAAAAAAAAGAAAAGAAAGAAAGAAAGAAAGCAGGAACCAAGCACCACCGCCATCACTGCACGGTACCTGGGCTGGGTACCTGGGGAAAGAGGGGGCCACCCAAGAGGCAATAAGAGTCAAAAGTAGGGTGTCAATCCAGATTCCGATCAGTTTAGCGGCACGCGTCGCATTCCCGATTCCTTCGTTCGTCCCGGAAAAACCTCAATAGTTATTTCAGCCTCCTCCGGACTTTTCCTGTGATTCCCCCCCTGTCCGAGCTAAGCTTTTATTCTCCCCGGATTATCTCTGGCTGAGTTTGAGGTTGTTCCTGTTGATCTTCTCGTTTGTCGTTTCCTGGTTCCGGTTGTCTGTGTTCACTTGCCTCTTGTTGGCTATTCGGAGTTGTGATGTGTGGTTGGGCGCGTTCCATCGGCTGCTTCCAAGGCTTCTCTTGCATGGACTACGAGCCCCTTCTCTGATCTTTTTTCCCTCACACGTATTAGGTTTTCTTGCGTATTCCATGATTCTGTCTTGCCCTGTCGTATCTATTTTATCCATACCCGTTCATCATACCCAGCGATTTTCCATCCGAGCCCCCTTACTGTAGTGGCGAACCTTATTTGCGATACCCTTCTGTCGTTTTCATATACCCCCTCACACATTCTCTCCCTCGTCGTTCAACACTCATTCCCTATCACACCCCCCATCAAATATTGCCCCCAGTCATCCTCAAACGTGGGTGAACAGACTTTCGCCGCGCCAAATACATACGCCTTAATATACACACTCGCTCACTCATTCACTCACTGACACGCACTCACACGGCCTACAGCTACTATTACCGCCCCAGCTCGCAAGATTGGTCCATTACACACCACAAACGCACACACACACCCACTTGCTAGCTCCGCTTGCATATACCCCTCCTAAACCCCTTGGCCTCCCTCGATTCTTTCCCCCTCCATCATGCCCGATACTTCTCTTCCGGGTCCCGGTTCTCCGAAGCATGATATCCGCCAGAAAACCCCTTTGCCTGCATCGTCCCTGAAAGACTCCTCCCTCCCTTCACAAAACTCATCACCATCAAGCCTTCCATCCTCACCAACTACAGTTAAATCATCTTCCGACGCGCCTAAGGGGAAGGGGAAGGCGGTCAAAGATGATCGCGATTCTCCCTCATCAGAAGCGAAGGGCAAGTCGCTCAAGAGACGTCCCAGCACAACAGCCTTGCACCTGGAGCAATACATAACACGCGATCACCTTCACGCAGCAGCGCTCATCTCGCAGACAGAAGCGTCACACGACCTGATACGTAGTAAACGACGCGAAGCAGAATACTATCAGTCCCTGCGACGCGAGCGCGTCCACAACCCCGGTGCGATATTTGGTTACGGATATCAAGGCTATGGGAACGGATCAACCAACGGCAAGGCGCGGATTTTGTACCCGTGTGAACGGAAAAGGCCAGGCGCAAGGAAGGCGCGGGAGCTGAGGCTAACACGGACGCAGCTACAATCTCAAGCCGACTTGCTTGAAGCATTAGTCCCCATCAGGCTGGACATTGACTATGATAAAATTAAGTTGCGCGATACATTCACATGGAACATGCATGATCGAACGGTACCGCTGGAACTGTTTGCGGAGCAGCTTGTGGAAGACTTTCATCTGCCATTAACACCGCAGTTGGTGCACATGGTGTCGAATTCGATACGAGATCAGGTTACGGACTACCATCCCCACATCTTCTTTGTGGATGATCCGTTAGATGTAAATCTACCGTACACCGCATACAAGAATGACGATATGAGGGTGCTCATCAAGCTTAACATCACAATTGGACAGCACACACTTGTGGATCAGTTTGAGTGGGATATCAACAATCCCCTCAATTCCCCTGAGGAATTTGCCCAGCTCCTTACCCGTGACCTATCGTTATCAGGCGAATTCACAACAGCTGTGGCACACTCCATTCGTGAACAAGCTCAATTATTCACTAAATCGCTTTTCATTACCGGGCATCCGTTTGATGGACGCCCTATTGAAGACGAAGACATTCGTTCTGCAATGCTTACCTCTCCCCTACCATCCATCTTTCGTCAACCTGTACTCGCAAATCACTTTACACCAATGCTGTACGAGCTTTCTGATAACGAGATGGACCGTGCTGAAAAATCACTGTCCCGAGAGCAGCGACGGAAACGTCGTGTCAACCGTCGTGGTGGGCCACAGCTTCCCGATCTCCGGGAAGTACCAAAAACACATAGGTCCCAGATTGTTTCGAGTGTTTTGCCAGGTGCGGTACAAGAAATTTCGGAACTAAAGAGGAGCATGACCTCTAAGGTAGTCAAGGATGGCGAATCCGACGACGATTCTTCGGAGAGTGATGCGGAGGAGACTCCCCCTGAGAAGGCAATCCCAGGGTATGCCAATATGACCAAACGTCAGCGTATTGCTGCGCAAAACGCACTCCGGTCCTCAACCGGCCGCTCAGCAACCCCAGAAGTCTCCGGATTCCACCGAGACCATCATACTCCTCTCTCTCTAGTCCATACCCATCATTACCCAACCATGACTCGTCGGCCGGGAGTCCCTATGCATCTTGATAGTGCACTTATAAAGCTCAAGATCAACAAAGATAAGCTTGCGAAGCTCATCGCAGAAAATGAACGCCGGGATAAGGCGAAGGCCGCACAACAAGCCGCTGCTGCCAATGCCGCTTTCCAGCAGCAACAGCAAGCTCGTCAACCGATTACCCCGCAGCAGCAGCAAACTCCGGCACCCGCTGCAGCGATGATGCCGCCTGCTACCCCAGCAAATGCTTCTACCGCTCGGCCAGCTGCAAGCCCTGCAACACCTGCGGCGCCCTCTCCCTCTCCAGCTGCGTCGGCAACACCCGCTGCCGCCACCACCCCTGCCACACCGTCTCGCCCAGACGCATCAAACCCCGATGTAAATCCCACCTGCTCACATTCAATCCCATTTAGAAGATAAACACTGACAGTGATATACCTAGCCGGTTCCTGAATGGCTCACTCAGGCGCTTGCCGTGCTTCAAAAATCATACAGCCAGGATAATTTTGAAGGAATGATGCGACAAACTGCGTATGATGCAGCCGACCAGCAGGTCACACAGGCTGGCGCAGGCGTCAAATTCAGGTGGATGCCCAGGATCAGATGCCACGATTGCCCAGGCAAACTATACACCCCCGGACCAGATAAGACAGTAGAAAACTTCCTCATGCATTTGAAGAATCGAGGACATAGGTATGTTGGCGCGTTCTGTGTTCTAAACTAGGATTGCTTTCTAACATTTGGATGCATAGAGAGAGAGTTGATGCAAGAATTAGTAAGGCTGCGTCAAAAGCAGCAGCCAGTGGAGTGGCTTAATGAACGAGGCTTGTATGGAGGTGGTGGCGTGTTATGTATTTCCCAACTATTATCCCCTCTATTTCTTTTTACCTTTTTACTTTACCCATGTATTTTTTTTCGATCATTTCGATTCTGGAGGTTTTATTCTTGCCTTCCTTTTTTTCCATTCCTTCTTTCCAATTTTTTTTCACTTTTTTTCTCTCTCTTGACTGGAACTTTGTGGGCCTTATCTCTATTTCGTTCGTTTCTTTCTTTCTTTTCATTCTTTTTATTACCAAGCACGTAGAGCTATGGAGTCAAAAAAAAAAAAAACCGAGATCGAGAAACCGAATCGGTAGGCGAAGAAGAAGAGGAGTAGGAGGATGAGGGGGTTGTACGTGTAGGCAAAGACCGGGGGACAGCAGGTTGGTAATTAAGTTAACTACTAGAAAGTAACTCAACTATAACTCAAAAAAGCGATGTTTAAACATGCGACGTTTGATGTAAACTAAGGTATGGATTTTTATGTTTTTTTTTTTTTTTTTTTTGCTCCCTTATATCTTGGCAACGTGGTTCATGAAAGATCACTCGCCATGTTTTTGTTCCGAAACCTCCCCGGGAAATCCCGGGTCGATCGGGCGGAAGGTGATTCTTGATGACGTATTGGGGGGTGTCTGGGCTATGGTGGTCTTGGCGGGGGCCTTTTGCCTTTGTTGAGAAGCTTGGCTTGGGGGCGGGTTGAAAGCTGCGTGTGGTTTGTTCTTGGCTTTTATGAGTAGACGCGTAAGTGGAAGATGTTCTCTATCTGGCCATATGCCAATTGCTTGATGTAAGCTCGAAATGTTTGTGTGCAATTATGTCTCGTGCTTCAGTGTTTGGGCTTGCTTGCCGTCCTTAAACATAAACGCCAATGTCAAACACACAACTACGCGTCTAGCGCTTAGACAGGGTGTGTAAATTACTCTACACCCAAACAAATCCAAGACCCAGATCCAGACCCAGACCCAGACATAGACTTCAAAAACGACCGGAGCCAACACCACCCAGACCACAAATTAAACCCAGCCAGCCCGATCCACCACCACCCGTAAACCCCCACACCCGCCCTACAACAACCGCGGCCCTCTAAAAGAACCGAGAACACCACAGCCGACCCCCCCCCCCCCCTCCCCCCCCAGAATGGCTTCCACGTAGAACCAGCCGACACGTGCAGTATCTTGTGAAGTGATGGATCACAGCCCATCACTCGGTCACTACTACCACCAGCTAACTAGCCTCTTTTGACGGATACTCTCATTCACGACTAAGCGGTTTCAGTGCCCCCCGGCTATGAGGTCCCCTTGCCTCACGCAAAAGCTATGGTTAAGAGGCGCTGGGGACTGTGTGCTGCGCTCGGTACCTACGCGGTTGTGAACTTACTCATGTACTAGGTAGGGAATGAACGAGGGCATCGACGACGACAACTCCTGACGGCCAACAGCACTACTCTATTGGAGGCAAGTTCCTGGCCGGACTGGGTCTGGGGTCTATGGTTCACGTGTGTGTGTGACGGTTTCATGTAGATGGCCTCCTCAGGGCTCGATCGCTAGCTTTTAACGCCATGGTAGTAGCAGACCATGAACCACACGCCTTCCTTGACACTGTCATATATAGTGCATAGTACGGCACTCAAATCCTAGCGCTCTGAAGAGATAATCGAGTATGCGTTATGCATCCGTACCTACAGAGACGAAACCGAGTGAGATTTCATGATGTACCCTCAAGTGATTTCACAGATTAGGGGTTCCGACGGCCCAACATGCAGACGGGCTTTACTCTAGGCCGGATAGATACGGGTTTAATTGAGGCCCCCATAATATAACAGCACACCGTCTTGCAATTGTTTACTACACACGCCTTGTTTTTGGCAACGGGTTGCAATTGGCAGCCGCGGTGCACTGCTGAAACGACCACTCCACCAACTACTAACCCATGGCCAACCATGTAGCCAACCGACATCGCTGCTAACAACCGATTGCACTGAACTGTTCTCCAAGCACAATTGAATCGTGTCTACAGCCTTCTGTCTTCTAAGACCTCCCAAGACCCAGCCATTGACAAACCAAACACCCTGGTAGGTACATACATGTAGGTATATGTAGGTAAAGTACCACCACAACCACAATTAACCAGAACCCCCCCGAAAAGGGAATTTATGACTCTACCCTCCGGCCGCCCCCCCATTTTTGCCGTTTGGTCGACAGGAAGGGCCGAGTCATGAAGGTCCCCCTACATACATGTAGCTAGCACATGACGGGCTGCAGGGATTCACCCTGCTTCTGCTGGGGGGAGATCGGATGGTGGTGGTGTATGCATGGATTATGTAAGCGGGAGGGAGGGAGGGAGGGAGGGAGGGAGGGAGGGTTTGAAGAACGGGTTTTAGGTTCGTGTGTAGATCAGATCAGGTTTGGAAGCCCGGTTTGGAATAGAGTAGATTTGATGCAGGATGGATGTCATGTCGCTAGATGTTCAGGTTTTTTTGTGGTTGTTGCTGGATGATCTACTACGAATGCATTGGGCCCTGACTGGGGGGATCTTCAGAGAAGAAGATGGTGGTCCTGGAGGTAGAGTATGTACCGGGCCTGCATGCTCTGCTATCGCAGGATCGGCGGGGCTTGGGATTCTACGATACGCGTACAATTGCATCCAGAGTCTACAACAAAGCGGGTGTGAGTTGAAATGCAACAAGCAAACCCATCCCGGGGTGGGGGGGCAAGGATGCGTGCAGAACAGCAGGAAAAGCAAAGAGAGAGAAGGCTGCATTTATAAGAACCGCGGGGTATCTAGAAGAAGAAGAAGAAGAAGAGGTCTCTGAAGAGAGGGAAAGAGTAGCAAATCGAAAATAGTAAGAAAAAGCACGTTATCGCGCCCCCCATCCACCCCCTCCCCTCGCCTCACACACTTCGCCTTAGGCTTTTCCACCTTCAATCCGCGTTTTAACTCCGCGTGGTTTTCCCTGGGCACGGACGGCGACGGGTAGCTATTACTATTTGTCTATTACTGTTACTTACACTTCTGCTGCTACGCCTTCTATTTACCTCTCCCCTCACCCTCACCCTCCCCCTCCCCCTCCTCCTCCCACTCTTCTTCTTCTTTACCCCCCACTCTCACCTCTGATTCTTCTTCTTCCTCTTCTTCTGTTGTTTATTCTCCTCCTCCCTCCTGATCTCCCTCTCCATCTCTCGTTACTACACCCGCCCTCTCCTCGTCCCGGGCCCAATTCCGTTGTCACTCGCTCCAGCTCGCTACGACCAACCAACCCACCGCAAACAAAGCAAAAGCTGACTCACCCACCCGCCTGCAAAAAACCTCCCCCCCCCCCCCCCACCACCACAACGCAAAAATGACCACCTCCGACATTCCCACGCCCTCGCCCTCGCCCTTGCCGGCAATTGGCAGCGGCGACATGAGCAGCTACAGCTTCCCCGCCGCGCGGCTCCAACGCACGCTCACCGACCCCTCAAAGACCCCGCTGGTGGTCGTGGCCTGCGGCTCCTTCTCCCCAATCACACACATGCACCTGCGCATGTTCGAGATGGCCGTCGACCATGTCCGACAGAACATGAGCGACGTCTATGAGGTCGTCGGCGGGTACATGAGCCCCGTTAGCGACTACTACAACAAAGCCGGTCTTGCCAGCGCCGCGCACCGGTACGGCCCTCCTCCTCCTCCTCCGTAACCCTACAGTATCATAGCATCTAACTAACCCCCCCCCCCTTCTACAGTGTCCGGATGTGCGAGCTCGCATGCGAACAGACCTCCGACTGGCTCATGGTCGACCCCTGGGAAGCCATGCAGTCCAGCTACCAGCCCACCGCCAAGGTCCTCGACCACATCAGCCACGAGATCAACACCGTCCTCGGCGGCATCCGCACCTCCCCCACCGGCGACGAGCACCGGCCCGCGCGCGTCATGCTCCTCGGCGGCTCGGACCTGCTGCAGACCATGTCGCAGCCCGGCGTCTGGTCCAAGGAGGACCTCGACCACATCCTCGGCCTCTACGGCATCTTTGTGATTGAGCGCAGCGGCTCCGCCGTGTCGGATGCGCTGGACCCGCTGCGCGAGTGGAGCGACGAGTTGGGGCGCGATTGGGTCGGCAATATTCATATCGTCAGACAGCTCATTGCGAATGATATCTCGAGTACGAGGATTAGGCAGTTTCTGAGATGGGGCATGAGCGTGCATTATTTGCTCCCGAATGTGGTCATTGAGTACCTGAGGGAGCATGGCCTGTACAGGGAGGAGCCGCCGAGGGAGAAGGAGAAGGAGAAGGAGAAGGGGAAGGAGCGGGCGGACTCGTCGTCGGCGGCGGCGACGTCGTGACCGCGTGGTATGAGCTTCTGACGGGCAGGGCCGGGTGAATGGTTTGCCGGTGGGGGGTTAATGGCCTGGGTGGTGTTTTTGTTTTTTGCCGTTTCTGGGCTCCCTGTGAAGTCTTCATCATCCGGCTTGGATCGGCTTGGCTGGCTGGATGGGCTGGGTCGGGCTGGATAATCGGTCGCCATCAATAACCTCCCCTTCCTACCTTACCTCTCAGGATACGTCTTCTCCCTGCTCGCTGTCCTCAATTCGGACGAAAAGGACCTACCTACCTCGAAAGACAGTCTATAGTACCCGCCCGTACAGCAGGGATTAAAAAACAAATATCACTATTGGAGTTTTCTGTTTCTGTTCTTTCCTTAATTTCCTTAATTCCTTTGCCATCCTTTTCCTTGCGTAATAATCAACGGAGTTCTTTTTTTTTTTTATTACACGATTTTGACGTCTTTTTTTTTTTTTTTGGCTATGTGTTTGGCTCATTATCATTATATCCACGGGATGAGATCTCTTTTTTCATGTCTCTTCATGTAGACCGGGTTTAACTCCACCTCCAACCGCCCTTGGCTGGCTAGCTACCTACCTACCTGGTAACGAATATACCCCCAAGGGCAAGGGCAAGGGCAAGGAAGGGGTGGGAAATATATTATGTGTGCAATGGCATCTAGATACCCCCCAAGCAAAACCAGTTTCCCATACGTAGGTGTTGTCTGTTGCAATGGATGTCTCACATGCTGCGAGGCGGAACGATGCGGGCCGGGAGCTAGGGGGCGCGATTAATTCCTCGGCCCGAAATTGGCCCGCTGGTGATGGGGAGGGGAGGGGAGGGGAGGGTGTGTGGGTGATAAGCTTTCTCTGGGTGGGGGTGCATGATTAGAATATGGGGTATGGAGTGGGGAAGTGAAGGATTGTGGTGGTACAGATATGCACAAGTATCTGGAATACACGGGAATGGGTTGGGGTTTACGCATGGGGTGTCACTCGGTTTTGTGGTGCGCGCTAGTTAACCTAACCCTACAGTACCTGAGTGTAGTGCAGTGTTGGGCTGTGGCTCCTGAGTTTGGGGAGCTGGGTTGTAATTATGGCCGGGGCGTTTTGGGTAGGTGTATAAGTGAAGAGGTACGGAGTGGGGAGAGGTGTGTGGTTTGGGTTTGCGGGTGTTTTGGCTCTGGGGGTTGTTAGAAGTCGGGTCTGGGTCCGAGTCTGGGGGGTGGATCTGGGTTCGTTGTTTGGGTTGGGTTGGGTTGGGTTGGGTGTAGTTGACACATCCCATCTAAGCGCTAGACGCTTTACAATTTCATGATATGGAGGATCGCCCCTAAAGGCCACCATACACACCCTCGACTATCACCACATTCCGTGTGTGTAGTATACAAATGATTGGAAGAGAGCGAGCGGGTGCAGCGCATCAACTGCTACACAAAACTGGATTTTATGGTGTAACTTATGTACCGTCAACTGCTTATAAAAGTCTTGTGTGACTTACGTACCAGGGCCTGTTTTTTTGGTCAGCAGGATTTCGAACTATTTTTTTCATCCAAGGTCAAATTAAAGTGGTCAAATAGAAATAGGAAGGGTAGGTCGGCGGTCAAAAGCTTATGTATTCTCGTCTTGGCAGGTTTATACGTACTTGCAATTAAGTTTTTCCCGACCCACCTCTTTTATAATCAAACTTCGTGGTGCTGCCCTCTGCGTGGGGCTAGCTAGTCGCCACCCGGCACTGTCCCCTCAGCAGCACACACCCCCTCCCCGCCCTCCCTCCTTGGCTCATTCACCGGCTTCTCCGTTTTAAATGTTTTGACGGGGGCCGATGAAGCTATGGTTGGAGCGATTCATGGTGGGCTATATAGGGCTTCCCTGTAGATAGTTTTTTTTTATTTCAATTGTTTGTACTCTAGTTAGGGTCCAATCCCCGAACCCCGGGGATAAAAAAAAAAACTATGTTTTGCATTCCCTGTAGGAATTGAGCTCGAGCGGTTCCGGATCATGGTCTAACACTCGTTCAAAGATTCTAGCTAGGTCCCTTCCGGACACCTTTTTTTTTGGGGGGGGGGATTATTACCGACAAATTAGAACTCTGGCAGTATAAAACCTCCTGATGAGGACAAAGAAGATGATACTATCTAGACTGTTAGATCCATTATATAAGTAGGTTCATCAGTACCCGTTGTGGAGATTTTCCCCTCAATTTTGCTATTCTAGAATATGAACAATCCCTCTTGATTCATTACCAGTACTACAACATCTTGACTCCCCCCCAATCAATACCGCCCAGCCCCAGCCCTAGTACTCCCCTCATTACCCACCCCACCCCACCCCACCAAACCACGCCGACCCACAACAACGGGTGGTTCACAGGATATCACTCGGCCGCCTATAAAGCGGCGTGTAGCGTCTCGGACGGTAGGATGTAGGTGGTGGAGGAGAGGTGTTGAGGGCTACTCCTTCAACATCCTCACCGCTACCTACGCTGGGGGGGGTTGTGGCCAGCTTGTAGGTGTATATATATATATATATAAATCTCCGCTCCCACAAAATCTTCCACCATAATCTACCGCAGTTGGGCTCAGATAGCGTCTGCTATATCGCCAGTAACACACCAGCCCAGTGGCAGGGACAGCCCACCATCTATCTGCCCCTCTCCTACATAAGCTACTCTCTAACTAGGCCCGCAACTCGAGGGCCTAGGTAGGTCTTCGGTCCAAACACACCTATGAAGCCGCTCCTAATGCTCCATACCCATATTAATACATCACTGGAGGGGGCCCGGGTGGTATAGCTATATAACACACTATACGAAACCCAGCGCCCAGAAGGTGGAGGCCCGGGAGGGGGGGTCTGGCTGTAGTCTTCGGGTTTGCGTGTGGTAGTGCTACAGCAGGCTGGCTAGACGGATATATGGATGGATGGATGGATGGATGGATGGGTAGCTGGTATATAGAAGACAGACAGATATCTGTGCGGAACCAGCTAGGATCCCTCTACGGGGGCCCCCTGTTGAGAGAGCTTAGTCTACAGCCGCTCACCATACCCCTAGTCCAACCACTTCTTTCACAGTATATCTGACTGGGCTTAACCTAGGCTCGTCCCCACCCCCCCCCCCCCTCTACTTCCATGCTTCCAGGTGCTGCTACGTAGGGGATGGGTACGAGACCTAGGCTTAACCCGCCGACCAACTCAGACCAATGATACCTACTACTATAACAAACAATGTTCCCCATCCCCCCGTTTTACAAACCCCCATCCCACGCCATATCTCCTCGCGAACCCAATCACGGATTCTCACTCACTCACTCACTCACTCACTCACATATACTCGCATACCAAGTATGTATTTGCGCAACCAGCAAAACACACAGAACCTCGAGAGCTTTCCCATCTCCTCTGAAATTATGCATCCTTTATCTAGATACCCGAAAGACTACAGGCCACTTTTAGGCCATATCCGTAAAGAACGAGGCGAAGGGTGTCTTAAAAGTCCTTTTATTACTTTCCTCTCCACCTTTACCGGTATCTCAATTAGGCCAAGGATTTGACGCATGAATCTCCCTTATCGAAATTATACTATACTTGGTCGTTGCAGTTTTGGTAATAACTATGGGACTTTTTATGAGTTGTTGAAAACCTCGATTTTTGGTGTTTTGCTGGTTGGGCAAATACATACTTGGCAAGCGAGTATATTCTCACTATTCAATTCGATCATACCAGTAGTTGATATATTGACCGACTGATTATCCACACCATCACACATGCACAATACTTAAAAACAGCAGCAATAGCAATAGTAATAGTAACAACACTACTATCTCCCACAATCCACCCCCCATATCCATACACGCACATACGCAAGCAAAAAAAAAAAAAAAAAAAAAAAAAAACAGTCCCCCACCCACCGCGCACGCCAAAACCCAGCCCAACAAAGGTAAGAACAAGAAGAGAAGTAAAAGAAGCAGCGTAAAAAGGTAGAAGAAGAGTAAAGAAGAAAAGAAGAAGAGAGAGAAAAGGAAGAAAAAGACCCACTAGTTGGTTAGTTACTTAAAAAAGCTACGGGACTCCATAACCCCTACAAAAAAAAAAAAGGACAAAAAACCTCTCGACAAGAAAAAAGTCCACCACAAAAGCGTACCCACAACAGGCGCAGGTTTACTCCTACCTCCCCCCACCACTCCCCTCACTCACCTCTAGACTCCCCTGCGACACATCCTCAAACTCCATCTCCCACCTATCCACCTCCCTAAACTTCTCCACAACCTCCCTCATCCTCGCCGCCCTCCTCCTCCCACCCGCCACCCCCCCTGGAACAACCGTCTCATCCCCACTACTCTCCGCCGCGACCGCCGCCGCAACCGCAACCGCCGCATTCCTGTTCGGCGAGTCGTTCTCCTTCTCAGACGAGATGGACTTGCGCGCATACGTCTTCGACACCCTCCCCGACAGCGTCGTCGCCGTCGTCGTCTTCTGCGCCTTCGTCTTCACATTCCCCGCGGCGGCAGCCGCCGCCGCCGTCTTCTTCCCCTTCGAGGCTACCGCAGCAGCCTTCTTCTTCTTCCCCGCCGCCGCCCGCGTCGCCGGCCGCGACAGCTCATCCGTGTCGTCGTCGTCCTCCACCGCGTCCTCCGAGGTGCTGATCACATCGAACTCGTCCCTCTCCGCCCTAACCGCCTTCTTCCGCCGCGGCAGCAGGCCGCGCAGGTCTGCTGTTGTCATGGTCTTTGCTGCCTTTGCCTTCTCGGCGGCCTTTCTGCGCTTCCCCTTGCGGTCTGTTGCGGCTTCAGCCTCGTCTTCCGCCTCCGCTTCGGCAGCAGCATCGTCGTCGCTGTCGACCACGGCGCCGGACGAGCGGCGCTTCCGCATCCTCCCCTGCGCCGCCGGCGGCGGGGACGACTCTGGCGGGCGCATAGTGTCGTCGAACACCGCGCTGGCGCTGGCGCTGTTGTTGGCCGGCAGGCGCACGGGCGACTTCGGGTCCGAGTAGATTGTAAACGCCTCGTCGTCGTCCGCGCCGGGGATATAGAACATCTCTGCCCTGCCACCCTGCTGCTCTTCGTCGTCCTCCAGCTCCACGGGTGCAAAGCCGCCCTTGCGGCCGCGCTTGGGCGTGGGCGATGCGCGGGGGTCTCGGTTCTCGCCCTCCGTCTCTGTCTCAGCGTCCGAGTCGGCGACGGCGTCGAGGGGCTCCAGCGAGAGGGGCTGCAGCTCGCGCAGGCGTGGGCGCTGCGCGGACGTGGGGCGCGACGGCGGCGGCGGGGAGTAGCCGGCGTCGGAGCCGAATTCGAGCACCATTAGGCGCTTTGTCGTTGTTGCTGTTGTGGCGGTGGTGGGCATGGGCGGGGGCGAGGAGTGGAAGTGTGTGGGTGTTGCTGTGGAGGTGGGGGTGTGGTTCTCCGCATTGCTGGAGGCGGGGACTTGGATTTCTGCTGAGGCAGTGCTGCGCGCGGGCGTGGACTCTCTGGACGGGAGGGAGGGCTCTGGCTCTGTGGTGCGTTTGCGACGCGTGGTGCGGGGTGGTGCGGGGGCGTGGGAGGGTCTGCGACGCGTCGTGCGGGTCTTCTTGACGGGTTCGTCGGAGGTGGGCGTGGGCAGCGTGGAGGGCGAGTCCTTGGTGCCTGAGCGGGTTGTGCGCGATTTCGTAGTGGTAGTAGCTGTGGTTGTGGTTGCTGTAGCCTTTGTGGGCTTCTTTGTGGCTGTGGCTGTGGTTGTGGTTGTGGTCTTGCCGGTCGCGGCTGGTGCGGAGGGGGGCTTGACGGTGCGGATTGGGCGGGGCATTTTGTTTGCTAAGGCGATGTGCGTAGATGTTTCAATATCACGAGATTGATGGTAGCGATGATGATGATGATTGTGGTGGTTGGGGTGCGAGGTGTGGAGGTGTGGAGGTGTGGAGGTGTGGATGGTGTGTGGAGGAGTGTGATGTGTGATGTGTGATGTGTGATGTGGTTGATGTGGGCGAGGGGAACGAAGAAGAAGAAGAACTCGGTCTGGTTGGGTCGGGGTGTCGAGGTGTTACAGAAATGGCAACAACCCCCCAATACGGCAATTGTGACGTGACGCGTTGTTGTGGCTTCGAGGGAAGGGAAGCTGAGTCAGTCAGGATTGTTCGCTTAGTTAGTATCTGCAGCCAGCCGGGGTTGGGATCTGCGGAAGGAAGCGAGCGAGCGAGCGAGTGAGCGAGGGTTTGACAGTTTGATGTGTGAGGGGTGGCGAGATGGGATGGGTGGGGTATATCAGAGAAGAGGGGGAGGGGGAGGGGAAGGGGCAGGAGTGGGGGAGAGGGTAAGGTCTCTTTATCTCCATCTTCCACGCTTTCAAGATCTCACTGCTGTTGTTGTACTTCCCTTCAAGTCACTCCTCTACCACCCTACCACCCTACCACTCTACCATTCTATCACCACCACCCCTCCGCAGACACCCCCTCCCAAACCAACAACACATGCACCAGCACCAACCAAGGGTCAAAACGCATGCAAACGCAAAAAGCAAAAAAAAAAAAAAAAACCCTTGCGCAAGACTCATCCACACACCCAATCCACATGGGGGTCAATGATCGATATGCCACTTTATTTTTTCTTCCCGCGTTGGGTTTGTTGGAGAACTTGCGGGCGGGTGGTGCCGTTTTGCTATTCTATGATATGACATGTGGACGTTGCATACCACACCACCACCACAACCACCACCACCCACTGCAAACTTCTTCTTCTGCTGCTGTTCGCATGTGGCGTTGGTTCGGGCGAGGGAAGATAGGGCCCTGCATCATCACATCTGTAAACCTAAACCTAAACCTTGCTGACTGGCCTTGGATGCGGGCCGTCACGTGCATGTGTGGTGGGCATGGATGCCATCGATGGGCATGGTCGGCCCGGCCTTGGAGGAGGAAGAACCCCCGCACGCCTCCCAGCCCAACCCAACCAACCCCTTACAACCCTGTGCTATGCTGTGGCAAACACAGACACTTTCAGGCTGAGGTCTATTGCTGCAAATGCTCGGATACAGGAAGACGAGAGTGATGATGATGATGATGATGATGATGGTTGGCTCAAGTGGGCGCCGCGCGCAGCTCTTTATAGGTTCTTGAAAATAACACATATACTTAACCGAGTCTAACCACGTAGCTGTTGAAACGTGTTTTTACACACATATTCCACTAACCCGCCTTACAGCGTCATCGATCGCTACTGCTACTGTGATTACAAACGGTTGCGTCATGGCCTATCACTCACCCACCACCCACCCCCGCATCACACCGCATCGAATCGCATCGCGGGTGCAGAGCCGCACATGGCGATGGTGGCTTGTCTGCAAGGGCGGAGCGGGGCGGGGCGGGGCGGGGCTTCGGTCTATCTACAGAGAAGAGAAGGGCACGGTTAGTGTTGATGTTGATATATCTTAATGTACATATAGCTCTTCCCCCTCTCCCTCTCCCTCTCCCTCTCCCTCCCCCTTCTCCCCGTCTCCGTCCTCCTCTTCCGTTCACCTCGGACGAACGTACTCACAGCTCACCTCGCCTCACCCTCTCATGCAGAAAGAACAGAACTCCACATACACAAACGGAACAGAGAAAAAACAGAAACAGAAACAGAAACAGAACAACAGCGCAACCATGACCTCCCCCGACAGAGAGAGGGGGGGGGGGGGGGGGACGAAACGAAGACTAAAAAACTAAACGAGCAACTCGTAACAGGTCTGATACAGAAAGGGAAGAAACATTTTCATCAAAAAAACAGATCTTATCATGCCGGCCGTCGACTTAGAAGGGAATATGAGGGTATGATGTATACTAGGGGGCGTATATTTAAACGGGTAGGGGTGGGGGAAGGTAAAGAAGAAGAAAAAAGCATCAAAAACACAAAGCCACCATAAAATCACCGCGCATCCCGCTCTAGCTACCCCCCACCCCCATTAAACCCACCCATGCCACTCACCACTCTACAACCCCTTAACCCGCCTCTCCCCGCCTTCTACCAAATCTTAAAACATGGGCGGAATAAAAAAGGTAATTTCAGCGGTTCCTGAAATATCGCCCCCCTCGTGGTCCCGTCCTATCTGATTCTGATTCTGATGATGCCTCTTTCTCACTATCATTCCCAACCCGCATGCCCGCCGGCCCACCCGACTCTCCCAATCTAAACCCTTTGGAAAACAGAATGAAAAAAACGATTTCGCAACACCAAACACATAGCAAAAGAAAACAGAAAAAAACGATGTCATCTCACTCAAACATGAAAAAAAGGTAGCAAGCACGAGCAAGAAAGCAAAAAACGGCAATATCCCCCCCTTCCCACCACTACCACGATGTCTCACCCCCTCCCATCATATGGACGAAGAAGGAAAAGGGAAGAGAAAAGGAATAAGAGAATAGAAGACAGGTCAGAGCTGTAGGGTCTTAATGAAGAGAGAGGGAGAAGAAATTTGGTGGTAACTATAAACTTGTAAATGAGAAAGAACAATAAAGAAAAGAAGAGAGAAGAAAGAAAACCCCTTGAGTTCAGACAAGCTGGAAAATAAAAACACCCAATCAAATTCTCTTACACCATTATTTTTTTTTTTGCTTGGCTGGTACGAAAAAAGAAAAGAAAAAAGGAAATCCCGAGACTATCACACCACGTGACTATGCTGACAATTGCCCCACTCCGTTTCGCCCGATCCCAGCCTTAGGCCTTCCGTTCCGCTCGCACCCCCCTCTTGGGGTTCCAGCCGATTGTACTATGCAGAAAATGGTTTCCACCAGCCCATCCTCTACACCCGAGAGACAAATAGCTAGAGACCAAAAGGAACAACGCGATGTTGATACAGTAGCTAAGATCCTTATCTGGATTTCGGAGGGGGCGGTAAAGGAAGCAGTGAAGGGGCCTGCAACGCTTGTAACCGCTTTGTGATTATTTCCTGCAGCGCTAAAAGTTGTGTCCTCTCCCTCTCTGGGGAGAGCGTGGTGTTGCTATTGGCATTTGTGTCAAGTGACGCGGCGGCTGGCGACAGTGGATGGTTTGTCAATGGATGAGGCTCGCCAAAAAGAGCCTTGACAGATGGAGTAGCCTCGCTCTGTGTATGAAGAAAAGCGTGTCAACGTGGAACAACTAAAACAACCAACTATCCATTGTACTTACGATTAAAGCTTCTATTAAGGTGTTGATGCCTCCCCCATTAAAGGTAGATAAGACAGCAGAATTCCCCGAAAACTCTAACAAATGCTGGACAAGCTGTTGGTCGATAAGTGGGCGGTCCTCAAGAGGCAGTACAGGCGAAGTAGATAGATGGGTGGTGCTTGTTGCTTTACTCTTCTTGAGCTTGCGCGTTCCCTTGATAGGTGGTCTTCTTTGGGGGGTAGGGAGTAGGGTCAGTCCAAAAGTACCATAAGTCTACCTGTAAAGATGAGACACTTACTCCGTCTTGACTTTTTCGATAAAGTCCAGCTTAATACCTCTTTCCGGCAACCTGTAGACAATTCCGCTGACCATGACATCCTCAAACATTACCTCTTCCTCGTTTTCAATCTCAATAACCCCGTTGTTCTTAAATCCTCGCCTAAGGGAGGTATCGACGATAGGCGCTTTTTTCGGCCGGCGAGGTTGTAGCTACGAGTAATAAACGGTTAGGGGATCGAATAAAACGTTAAAGAGCGGGTTTATCTAAGGATTTTCAACTTACTCCGTCTGCGTGCGCTGGGCACATCCACTTCTTTTGGGTTGGGGGAGGATTGGGCATTGGCATTGGTCCAATACAATCCAGATGCCAACTAAGTGGACAAAAATCGCAAGAAATGATCCGCTGCCCATTGACAGCAGACTTCCCACAATGGTGACAAAGGATGGCATTTCCAGCCTTATCCTTCAGTTTCAGAGTATCGTATTCTTCTACAAAGCCACTCTTACTACACATATGCCATATCGGCATTTTATCAGCATATAATCGCTGAAGCTCGTTTGATAAGAATGCAACACATACCTAAACTTCTGCGTTTTATTATCCCGGACATCAACGTATTCACCCAAGGCTCCTGTCTCTACCCCAACAAAATAGCCACGGATATCCGGTGGCAATCTAAAAGAGGTCGGGTTTCTTCGATTGATACCGTCGATTAGTTCGGAAAAAAGGCCCCTGGGTGGCTTTACTGGAGGATTGTGTTGAGATGTGCATTTGTTGCAAAACCACATTCCATCCGGGATCTCTTCTAGAGGGGGATTCAAGCACGTGAAATGGAAAGAACGAGGGCAGCGTTCGCAGCAAAGAAATCGACCAGGTCCGTTACATACGGCGCACACATCTTCGTTCTCCTGATGGGGTGTTAGCATTGGGAAATTTCACACCCATCTCAGAAGTGATGTTTTTCGCTAAAGAAAGCGGGGGAAACGCACGGAAACCTCCTCTGACCCGTACCGAACACGTCTGTGATCACTCAAATCACCAATCCCAGCGGTCACCACAAACGGTTCCGTAACAGTTTTCTTGACCGGACTAATTTGCAATATTCTCACACTGGTCAGCTGTTATATCCTCGAAAAAAATTTCATGTCGTTGAACTCTAATTTGACAAAGTCAAATTTTTAAATGAACACTCACGAAATTTTGATTTTATTGGTCTTGTTTTTTTTCTTTGGAGGTTGGGTTGGAAGGGGGGCTGGAGCTGGCACTGGCGCTGAAGTAGGAGCCGCAACTGAAGAGGATGGGGTGACAGAAGAAGAGGCGTACGTCTGTGGTGGTGGTGTCGAGATACTAGGGCTTCGATTCCTTTTCCTTGGGTTCCCGTTCCCCTTTGCTGGACGGCAAGCAATCCCAGCGGGCGGAGGATCACGAATGCTGCTGTCCTGTTTGATTTGGTCGAAAGTTGGAAGCTTTATTCTTTTTGCCTGATGCTCCGAGTCGTTACCTTGAATTGGTGTAAAATTATTGACTGGAGAAGGAACTCGACTACGATGGTGAGGTGTCGAATCAATAGCAGCAGCTTCTTTGCCGCCTTTTTGTTGATCTTCGTCAGTTTCTGAGCAAATTGAACTCAAATCTGAATCCGTGTCCTCATCAGGTTGCTCCCCGTGTTGGTGCTTCTTGATCCCATTCTTCTTCCGCTCCTTCCTGCTCATCTTCTCCTTCTTCACAATACTGTTGCCACCCGTAGAAACGATGCCGTTTGTCGCTGCAGTGTTCTGGGCCTGAGTCTGCTCCTGTTGCGGCTGCAGTTGTTGTTGTTGTTGTTGTTGCGGCTGCGGTTGCGGTTGCGGTTGCGGTTGCGGTTGCGATTCTGGTTGTGACTGCGATATATCCATGGGGGTTGGAGGGGGGGCTCCGTCTGGAGGCTGTGTACCATTTGCTGCGGACGTAGGCTCTGCGGACGTTGCGTTAGGATCCCGAGCATTCCGTACGTATGTCTGAAACTGATGAATCTGTTCCGATGTAGCCTTCTGGGCAAGTACCGCGTCCAATAGATCCGCGAGTAGGGAGTTGGATAGTGATTCATCGTAGAGCTTTTTAATAGCGCGTCCTAGATCAACATTCCCAACCTGAGCACTGCGCTCGATCGCAGCATCAACTACCATAGACAACCGCTGTCGGCCTTGCGGTGTTTTGCTGTTTGGGGCATTTCCATTCAGCCAGGCTCCGTTGACAGCACCCGGTCGGGAACCATTTGAGCCCGAGGGAGTTGAGGGATTAGCCGGCGGCGAACCGGAAGAGCCTATCGTCATTCCTCCAGGTGATGGTGCCGATACGGGCGCCGGTGTCGTTATCACAGGAGGCTTCACTTTAACGGTTTGTGTAGAAACTGTCTGCGTCTGCGCAGAACGTGAGGATCCAGCCACGGGTGTGACTGGTAGTGGTGGTGGTACTCCGCCGCCACCATTTCCTCCAGCAGCAACAACCGCCCCAGAAACAGCTCCTCCGGCAGCTCCTCCCCCGATAGAAACTCCTCCAGCAGGAACTCCCCCAGCAATATTTCCTCCATGAATAGCGCCCACAGTGGCAGCGCCGCCAGGAACAGCGCCTCCAAGAGCGGCGCCTCCGGGAGTAGCGCCCCCAGGAGAAAAACTAGAAGCAACACCAAGAGAGGCGCCAGGAGCAACTACAGGAGCAACGCCAGGAATCATTCCTCCAGGAACTGATCCGGGGACTCCTCCAGGGACTCCTCCATGAACAACTCCATGAACAACTCCATGAACAACTCCTCCAGGAACACCCACAGGAACTCCCACAGGAACTCCTCCTCCAGGAACTCCCGTAGGAACTACTCCACCAGGAACTCCCACAGGAACTCCCGCAGGAACTCCCGCAGGAGCTACTCCCGCAGGAACTACTCCTCCAGGAATCACTCCTCCTTGGGCAACTCCAGCTGGAGCTCCTCCTCCTCCTCCTCCTCCTCCTCCTCCTCCTCCTCCTTGGGCAACTCCGGGGGGGACACCTGTAGTAATAATTCCTCCTCCTCCCCCGGAAACTCCAGCTCTAATCCCACTCGAGATTATTGGGCCGCCATTTGCTATTTTGCTTACAGGCGCCCCATTTCCTCCAGTTCCTCCCTGTGTCCAACCTGATGCCCCATTTCCCTGTGATGACTGCTTTCCCTTCTTCTTTCCCCCGCCAGGATAAGGGCGTTTTGTTGCCTCGAGCATTTTCGGTGTAGGTAGCTCCCCAAGCGGGAGCATGTGTGTTGTAGAAGTGTTCATCAAAGCCTTATCGTCGTACTCCTTATAAGATGCCTTAGGAGTGGCCAACGGGGGCTCTGACCAATCTGACTCGGAGCCGTGTTTTACGCTGCCCGAAGCCGAAGCCGAAGCGGATGTCGCTTTGTGTGGAGCCGAGGCGGGTTGTGTATGTGGAGCGGAGGGTTTGGAGGATGATGGTGTGTTGACAGGAGTCGAGCGACGGGTCGATGGTCGCGACGAACGTGATGGTCGCCCATCCTTGGACTCTTTTGGAGGCATGGCGTAATAAGCCCGGAAATTTGGGTTAACTTTCAAGCGGCAACGGATACGGGAAACCCAAAATGAAAAAAATGAAACAGCAAAACGATGATTGCTACTTCACGCGAAAGAGTAAGAGTTGCTAATGCGAGCGAACTCAAGAAAGTAAAACCGTGTGCAATCTAAAGGAAGTTCAAAAAAAAATGTGAACAAAGTAGAAAGATGACGATTGAAATGAATATAAAAAAATAACCCAATTAAAAAGGGGAAGCCAGGTTTCTAATAGGTAGTGATAGATATGTAGGTGTGGGTTGAGGGTTGGGGGTGGTAACGGGGGATGTGGGTGGTGGGGGGAGTTAGGGAGTGGGGGGATTGAAAAAGGATGACGGTGGCGGGAGAGGATAGGGCAGAAGTGATCGCGTCGTGAATTTTTAAGTGTTGTGGTGGTTGAGGCGTGTGCCGGTAAGGAAAGAGATGATCGAGTGAGCAGGTTGAAGAAGTGTGGTGTCCAGGTAGAGGGGGTTAGGTTTGGCGCGGAGACACAGGGCTGGGTGACAGGCGGTGTACGGTCTATGTGTAAAGAAGAAGGCCGGGGGGAATAGACTGAGAAAAAAAGAGAGAGAGAAGAGGGCTGGGCTAAGCACAGTCTCTCGCTCGTTCGTTGATTTTTTCCTTCTCTTTCCTATGTAGTATTCTTCTACCAACTCTCTGCAGTAAGCACAGGGAAGGAGAGGAAGGAAGGAGAGTGGAAAGGGAAAAGGGAAAGGGAAAGGGAAAGGCAAAAAAGATGCGGGTGAGCTGTCAACGACTCGAGCCACTGCCTAGCAAATTCGCTAGACAACCGCTACTACTCCTCTTGTGATGACGGTCTACACAAAGACTCGGCGGACCAAGATGAATCTATGTGGGTGGACGGTGGTGGTTGTGGATGATGAGATGTGTGTGTGTGTGGAAGTGTATGTAGGGCACAGATCCGAGGAGGGATCGCTGGTTGTCTCTGGGTAGATGTGAGAGGATAGAAAGAGGAAGGGGAGGAAGGGGAGGGGAGGAGGAAGGGAGCCGGAAGGGAAGTCCACGGTGAGAAACAACTATCCTCACTCGCTCGCAATACAACCCATGGGCTCATTGGGAATGACGATGAAAAAAACGTTGGGCAGCTTGCTACATACAAACATCTTCATCATCAAGGACATGTTTGTTTCCAAGTTGGCAATGTGTGCCAGCAACACTTTGCCCCCTACATATACCTTTCCAGGCAAATACATTTCATTCCCTTCATCTTATTGCAATACAATGTCCATTTTCCCCTAGAGCTATCCGAACCTAAACACGTTGACCCATTCCCGCATCACCGTTCATCCGCTGAAGACACAAATCCACTGTTGTACATAAAGTCGGCCAGACCGTATGCTAGAACAAAGAATTTCAAGAAACAAACCCCCAGAAAAATGATAATCGACCATGCATGAGAAGCGTTTCATTAAAAGATACATGCATCTTAAGATCATTCATCCCGTCACTGATCCTCATGCAAGCATAAATATAATGGGTGGAAAGTAATAGCTAAATAGTAGGATTGGCGTCAGCAATACCATTCATACTGACAGGGAGAAGCAAAAACTAACCACTAGTATCACGACTTGGATACATGTAGTGCTGCATAAAGATGCAAGGTGGAATCCAAATTTTCCCGATGCAAACTTAGCTCCTTCGTGCAAGATTCGTCTCAGAAATGGTCAAAATCCAATCTGAAAAATCCAGGAGAAACCCTTCCTTCGAATAGTAAACAGAAGTGGAAACCAAGAATCAAGAATTGTTTGACATTCTCTGGCGTATAGATTTCTGGGTCTTTGATGTATAGGTCCAAGGAATTAAAGCTTAAATGCCCTTTAGTAAGACAGAAATGTATTGGAAGGAGGTCTGGAAATAATGCAAACAACAATTTTGGTGCAAAGGTTAAGATAATAAACCAATCGCCCCCCTTAAGCCAGTGTATCCTAGTCTTTGTAATAATGCCCAATTTCTTGATCATAGAACGAAAAGTTTCAATTGTATGTGTTTGTGGCGATAGAAAAGTGTTTTGATGGATAGGATATTCTATTAGAAAACATCCATGGCGAGGGAAAATGTTCAAGTGGCTGAGGAGTAAGAGCGTGAATATCATAGAGGCCCTCTTGATATTGTATAATTATCTAGTCTGATGAATACCGTGTGTAATCTTTACCACGGACCTCAATTAGGTTGGATGTTCTGCCAGCATATCGGCTTCACCGCAGATTTGATTTTGCCTTCGGTGAATGCCACCTGCCCTCCATGTTTGCCATGTAAATATTGTTGGGTGGTTGGTGAATTAACCATCCGGCGAGCATAGAAACACAGCTCATGTATACTAGAGTCTAGTGCCAAGAGCCAGTGTGGAGAGTTTCCACCGCTGGAAAACACTATGGTCTCGATCCGGCATTATGACCGAACCTTGGCCGCAAAGAAAACGAAATCCTGGATCCCGTATTTTGGTGGCGATATTGTTGACTTCCAGGCTGCTCCATGAGATAAGAAGCAACCCGAGAGACGGGCCATTGCAGCAAATACTTGCGATATGGACTTGTTCTGCAGCATATGTCGTGTTAGCACCTTCCGGAATTCCAGCAAGAGTCCAGAGAGTGGGAAACCAAACAAGAATTGCGTCGAGAAGAAGTTCACTTACGGGGAAAGATTAGGTACAATGGCACGTGGTAAAACCACGCGCTATTCACTCGAGAAATCTAAATTGAAATACCCCGCAAAGGCAATTGGTATGGGAATGGAAGCTTTGATCGCGTCCTCGTTGACTTGTAGTGGCGATAAAGTGCTGCTGGTTGTCCTGATCTTCACCTCGCAGTAATTATTTTGCGAGCCCCCGCAAAATGTACTGTCATGAACGCTGGATAAGTAAGTCCAAGCTGGTAAGCGTTGCGGGGAGAAGGTGTACGTTAATAGATTGAAGGTCTTGAAGCCGTCACCAGGGTGATTGTTGCTGTCTTGGCGTCGTCGATACCAGATAACCGTGTGGCGTTGAACGTATGTACAGTATCGACATTCAACAAACTTAAATCTTCGAGTCCATCTACAACGATGACAATATTGCAACTCAAAGAATATATAACGTACAAAGCAGTTTATAGAAGACTTTGTTGTAGTGTATCATTCATATCTTTGCCCTATAGAACCTTCACTGACCAAGATATCCTGCAGTAGAAGTCATGAGCACAAAAAGCGGCCTGTTTTATGAAAATAGGTAACGTGGTTTTTCTTTCACTTCTCTATTCATGAACTCTGGTCTCAGTTCAAGTTCTCCCACCTCGGGATATTCAAAATACTTACCCAAGCTGCAGCTGCGCAGGGCATTGCCTTCTTGTTTGTCCGCCCACCCTACCTTCATAGACAACACGTGCCTCTAGTCTCAGTATACAAGGTTATCCCAAGTCGCGGCCTCCGTATCCCTTTCCAATACGTTTCGGTTGTCTAACGTATTCCATATGGTTTCCAGTCAATACATAATACTTACAGACATGAAACTACACCCAACAGCCTCATCTCTTCGTAACCTACAAGTGGTCTTCGTCCGATAAACTTATCAGCACCGGACAGATGAAGCCAACGCCAACGCTGACACCCGAACGAACCGCCCCTAATGCGGTTGGCGACCAGGCTTCGCCCCCTGACAACAAGCATAGGCCTAGGGCTCCTAAAGCACTGTCTATCAGACGCAACAACAATTACAGATAGTAAAGATACTGTGCAATACGTGCTGCCTCTCCTTGCACCTTGGACGAGCATGGGGAAGGTGGGGGAGGCATGAGTGATAGTCTGTGATGCTGGTTCATGAGGCTTAAAATGGCTTGGCATTTGAGCATTGTGATGCCACCAATAACTTGGCGAGAACCTTTTTGACGCGAGGATTCGCCCACATTACACCTTAACAAGGAAAACTTCGATTTGATTATGATCGCCACGATTATGCAGAGCCTTCGGTTGATGACCCTTCGGTATATACCTAGGATGCCTTACACGGGAGTGCAAGTCCAAACAGTGGCACAAACCAACGATAAATTTTTAGGGACAGATACATATATAAACCTATGTATCCCAAGGATAGGATTTCCCCCGAAATATTCCGGTTCTGCGCCAATCTGAGACAATATGATTGTTGAAATAGTTAATAGTGGTTGCATCACAGGTTATCACTCGACGTGTATATCATTGCACGACCTCTACGTGTGAACGGAGAAGTGGTGCCGTGGAGCGATACGTATACAAACACTTAGGGTGGCTCAAGATATGAATCGTCTGAATGTTAAAACCCGGTTGGAAGAATGTTGGACGAAAGTCCATATTCCCTTGGGCACGCGGATATTGTTTGATTTTCATCTGCAGACAAGCGAGCCGCAGTAAACCTACCTAAGAATATGTAGTTTGTGTTATTCTATTGTTGTTTTTCTTTTATTTCTTTTTCCCCCCGGGTTTTGAGGTGCGGTTACACGCACACATGGGGGCTTCATAAGGTATCACTCGGTGTCTTGGCGAACTATTCCACGTGGGCGTGGTGGTAGCGAGCATGGTGTAGGTACATGTATCAGGGTTCAACGAAGGACGAAAGCACTCCAATATGGAATTGCAACACAATATTTGTTGCCCTAGTTTCCCGAGAGAGTTGATGCGGGTAACCGCTTAAAAAGTACTCCTGGAACGACCATGAGGTTTGAACGAATGATACTAATAGTAACGTGAATGGTTCTCTACACACATTAAGTGGTTTGAGCCGCAGTCATTCGAGGTGTAAGGAGCGATTGGATGATTTCTGTCAAGGATAAAGTAAGTATATGATTTTCATATAAGTTTTATATATTCTGTGTTTGTACTCCTGAAGGTCACAAAATACACGTGTGTAAATCAGAGGATTGTAGACATGCGGTATTAGCCGATTATAATGGGCCAGAGCTCTAACTTAAAGCGCTTCTTATTGATAACGAGCTGAGTTTGCT